CTGTTGACGCCACTGGTACACAAATCAAACAAAATACTGTGCTTGGATTTCTAAGTTGAAGTGTTAATTATGTTAAAATGCTTACAAAACAAGCAAAAAACTTTTGTATCGACATTATTTTTTGTAGGACAGTAATTTTCTATTTCATCTTACCAGTCATCTAAGATTGCCTAGTACAATGATAATTAAGTATTGATACTGAGGTGGCAGAGCTTGGTATTGTACTATTTTATTTTATTTATTTGTTTTGGCTTTTTTCTTTTCTTTTCTTTTCTTTTCTTTTCTTTTCTTTTCATCTTACCAGTCATCTAAGATTGCCTAGTACAATGATAATTAAGTATTGATACTGAGGTGGCAGAGCTTGGTATTGTACTATTTTATTTTTTCTTTTCTTTTCTTTTCTTTTCTTTTCTTTTCTTTTCTTTTCTTTCTTTCTCTCTTTCTCTCTCTCGCTCTCTCTCTCTCTCTCAACAAACAAAAGCAACAGCAAGAATGAAAGACTTTCCTAAAAAAATCAAATAAAAAAAGAAAGTCTAAATTAATCCTTATTAAATATATTTAATATTTTACTTTTACATATCACCATATGCTGAAGTGCTTAGAGTAACAGAAAATCACACTTTCAATGGGCTTTTTTGCCTAATGAAAACGTCTGTCTTCATTTAGTACTTACTTCTTCATTTTTCAGGTAGTAGTCATCTATGGTTCTTGTAATAATTCTGCATACCTGATCATACAACATCTTTCCTCGCATCCATCATCCTTTTTGTTTTGTGTAAGTAGGGAACATAGAGTACATGATCCTTGAGGTGTAATTACATGATGTGCTTTTATGTTCTCTAGTTTGTTCTTCACACCTCATTGCCATGCAAACTCCTCTTTTAGACTAAACCGTAATACAAAAAACTGAAGTTTCCCTTGAATTACTGCCTTTAGAAAAGGACATTATTGTAATTCAGATAATTATTTGAAATGCTGGAGGTGGTAGGTTATCATTATTACAATGCATATTTGGAGTCAATGTAGGTACATGGAAATCAAATGAAACAGCAGCACCCCTGGCATCAGCTATAGTTTTGAGTGATGCATTTCATGGAAACAAACAAAAAAAAAAGGTTCTCCAACTGGGAGAAAGTCATTTGTCGAGAACTGAGGGCTCTTCATATTGTGAGAATCTTCTGACAGTTCTGTTCATTTCATTCACGAATTTGTGTATACTTGTGTAGTAATTTTTCTCTGCATGCTCTCTGTTCTTTCTTTTCTTCTTTTCAATATTTGTCTGTCTACCTTTTCCCTCCCTCCATAGCTTCTTTCTGTCACCTTTTCTCAGCTGCCATATTTTAATTCTTGGTGAGCTGTCATAAATTATGTATGAACAGCTGAGCGCCCCACACACCTCAGCTAAGACTTTCTCTGAAGTTTTGATGGGGTTGTAGGTGTTCTCATGTTAGCCCAATTGAGACTTCACCTCTCTAGACAAAACCCTCACTGCCCTGTCTCATCCATTCTAAATGGACTGTGGAAAAAACTTCAAAGGACTATATTTTTGAGAAGAGGTCTGGGGCCTGGAAATGGCACAAAACACAGAGATAGGCTCAGTCAATAAAACAAGCATACAACACTGCATTGTATGGAGGATGGTATCCATTAGAGGGTGCTGTGGACCAGGAAATGAAGTTGCATTTGTGAACTAGAGGAGATAATGGAGATTGGCTATGGGCATTTTTTTTGACAAATAATGTCGATTTTGTCATTATTTACTCACCTCATGTTACTCAACCAGTCTTAATAATTTACTATTACACATGCTAGCATTCAACTAGTGTGATCCAACCTTGTGTGAACAAAAGTAGGCATATATGCAATCTTTTAACTCGCACCATGCTTTCTGTCTTTTAAAATATGTAATCCTGGTCATTTTTGCATGGTATTCACGTGAAGACAACATAAAGGGACTTTGGTGACTATTCCTAAAGCTCTGTTTACATGAACTAATACCACCCACCGGAAATCATACAATGAAACAGCAGAGCAGACATCAAAGACTCAGCTAACAATAGTACTGTACTCCAGCACCTCAGTGTCCTGCATACCACAGAGCCTTGCATCACATGGAATAATTCACTTTGAGTGGATAGGTTGGCTTCTCTATTAATATCATGTATTTCTTGTGATCTTGAATTATTAAAAGCAGGCAGAAATTTGTCTATGTACCATCCTTAGAAAGCCCCCGTGTCCTACTTTGGATGTTTTGCTTTGTGACAATACTAGCTTCTCTATTATAGATGCTTTTTGGTGCCGGTCGTAAGTTGTTAACTTGAATTGTGTACTACTTTGTCAGTCTGAGAGTGCGCTTGAGTGCATGTGCTACTTTGACAGTGACCTCACCACCTCACGTGTAAGTCTGCATCATTGCTAATGAGTGTGGAGAGGCTGAGCTCCACTTTGCCAAGAACTGTAAGGATCAAAGCCCTCTCAGACAGCTTGTCATGTGTGGATGCTTCACTCTGTCTCACTCCAGTCTGAGTTAACATCCAGATTAGAGATCGACCGATATGGGTTTTTCTATAACCGATGCCGATGTTTAGAGGTCAGGGTCAGCCGATGGCCGATATGTGCTGCCGATTTTTAGGGCCGATATCTTGAAGTTTTCCCCTTTATTTGCATGCTAAAATGTCACACTAATAATAAGTGGATGCACAACATTTCTAAACTTAACATCATCATTTATTGAACACTGACTTGAACCATCTCTCGAATCTTAATTTTGTGCACTGCACGGTATTAAAATAAAATATTTATCCAAAGTTAACCAAACAAATCAATAAACTTACCAAGTATTAAATATATAAAACAGGTACTGTTACTGGTACAGGTATAAAAAACAAAACAAAACTGTCAATCATTTACATAAAAGTTTTAGAGCATTTATCAAGCAGCCAGCAGTGTCGCTAGCACCAAACATTTTGTCTCCTCCATTCTTGCAAACCTTTTCTGCAAGCTTTGCAGCATGGTTTCTCTTAGTGTTTTAATCCCCCTCGTGTTAGGACCCTCTGCCTGAAGCACCATCTTCAGCACAGCAATGCTTGGGATGACACTGGAGATGGAAGCCTCTGACCTGCTGATCTCGAGGGTGACTTCCTCAACAGGTTCCAACGTGTCAATCAAATTGGAAACTGTGTCCCATTGATCTGCAGCTGGAGTAGCAATTTTTCCATATTCTTCAGCATAGATATTGAGTGCTCGTTTCTGCTCCAGCATCCTCTGCATGATGTGGAGCGTGGAGTTCCAGCGAGTGGGTTCAGACTGAATGATACCGTGCTGGGGGAGGCCAAGTTCTTTTTGAATTTTTTTCAGATTAGTTAACTGCAAGTAAGCGAACCTTTAACCAGCTGTAGCATTATGCCAGTTCCCGACGGTTCTATGCTATTCGTTTTTTCTTTCACTAAGTGAAGCAACACTTCATAGTTTACTAGTAATATATAGTAAATATATGGCCATAGGACTTTGAAATATCAGAATTTAAGCCTTACCTTTATCTCCCAGGACTGTTGTTGAATCTTCCAAAAGTTTTGGCTTGGGGTCCTTCACATGCGGCAGCAGCACTTTCCACCGCACCAATAACACGGGGCTGCCCGCGGACGTGCCTGACTTTAAATCGGTGCTACTAAACACGGATATCGGCCGATGCCAATATATTAAAAAATGACAAATATCGGCCCGATATATCGGCCGACCGATATATCGGTCGACCTCTAATCCAGAGCAGGTTCGTCTGACGTTGTGTGGCTGCTTGTGGGCATAGTGTCTCTTAGAGCACAACCGATATATCGGTTTGAATGATTAATCAACGTTTATAGTTGCTTTTTTTGTACTGTTTTTTTTAATCAGTTGATAGTTTTTCTTTACAATCCTTTTTATCCCTCTTTATATCCTGTGCACTGGCACTGGATTCAACCTCTGCAGGTGAAATAAAATGAATTATGAACTCTGCATTGAGTTTTGATGCATGTCTATGCTTTGTACACAAAAAGTGGATTTAAAACATCAGAAAAAGCCAAGGTATGTATACAGTAAGCCTTGCCATTACATATCGAACAGTACATCAATAATTTAAGTTCACTCAGAAATCAATATTCTGTCATCATTTACTGTTATGTAGTTTTCTTTCTTCTGTGGAACACAGAACACACGTTGATCTGAGTTTAATGTTTTTTTTTTTTTTTCAAATGTAATTAGCAGTCCTTTAAGGAACAATATGAAATATATAACATATCTATATGGAGACAAGGCTAATTTCAGTCAGAACTACATCTGAGTGTTGTAATGTCTGTCCTTACTGTGGTTGAAAATCACTCACATTTTCTGAAAGATTTTGGCTATATCACATAAGTAGTTTAATTAAGGAGCTGATAGAAAGTCACTTCATAATGCTTAAATTCCCCAGCGAGCAAACCAGTTGTGACTTTGGCAAGGAACCAAAAACTTATTTTTATTTATTTATTTATTTTTGTTGTTGTTGTAGGAAGGCTATTAAAAAAATTCATTTAAAAAGACAAGACTTGAGTTGATTTTATTTCTATCCCTTTTCCCCTCTTCCCCTTCTTGTAATCCTTTTCGCAAGTATTTATTTCATATGACAGTCAAATTGAAAGTGAGTCAGTAGTGATGAAGCGTAGCTTTTTATTAATTTTTTAAAATGTAATTAATAATTACTAAACATTCTCATGGTTAAGGCATTACTTTTTGTTTTCTAATAAAGTTCAATACCATTTTTTTCATTAAGTGGAAAGCTTTTGTTCATATTATTGATTGTTGATTAATTTTGCAATTTTAGTTATTGGTATCAGGAAAAATAGGTTGACCTCTAGTGTCTTGTATACCCAATGTTTTTTTTTTTTAGTTTTTCTAGTAATTGAAGAATCACCCTAATATGATTATTCTGAAATTAGTGCAAACAAATGTTCAATAATAGCTTCTTATTTTTTTCTCTCCAATAGCTTCAAATACTACAGACTCCCAGATTCTTACCCAACAAGCTCCACAACCATGAAGGACTTTCAAGTCTAACCTCTTCAGAGGCCCCTTGTGACGGTTTGGATGCCGAGCCTGGTCACCACCCACTGATGCCCCAGTCCTGCTCCCCAGACCTACAAGGTCCCATCACTGTTGAGTCTACCCCAAACTGTGCTATACCAACGGTAACTATATCTGCTGATAGCTTTGCTGCCTTCTCTTCCAGAACTTTTCAGAGCTCTGATCCTGCTGAGCTTGGCCTCATTAGCAGCCAGGTTAAAATCAATGAGCCAGCAACCCCACCAGCTACTGCCAGCTTTTGCTGCAAGCTAGAAGGAGGTATACAAAAACTTCCTTTGAGAAGAAGCAATTTTTCAACTCTACAGCCATCCACTTCTATTAAGAGAGCTTTGACACTCATCAAGTCCCAGGAAGTACAACAGGTCAGTGTGTTTACCGGAGCCCTGGGTAGGTTTGGAGCCACAGGTCTATCCAGAACAAAACATCAACCTTTATCAGCTGCCGGACTGCTTTGCATCAACCCAGCCCGACAAACTACCATGCACAGCACCACTGCACCAATATTTAACCAACAAAATCAAGGGTGCAGTCAGTCTTTATTGCTCAGAAACATAGAAAGCAGTTTGCCCAGAGCCAGTGCCCCCCTCCAGCTCAAACATTCCCGCCTTCCTAAGCCAAAGACAATTTCTTCTCTACCAAACCCTGCGGCTCAGCAAGGTCAAACAACAACCTCCCCTGCTCTGCCTTCTCGTATGCTTCCACAATTCTAGATTAGCTAAGCAGGGCTTTGGGCATCCCACCAGAGTGTAGAAAATCTGCTTCTTAAGGCCCTGCTTGTAAGGCACCAGTCAAGTATCCTGGCAGTTATGCTTACTATGTACAAAACTATGTACAAAGTTGTAAGAGACACTACTGTCAACCTTGTACCTATGAACCTTGCATAAGATATTGCTCCTTTGATAGATTAGCAAGGCACCACTTCTCTAGGATAACGACCAAAACCAAGTAGAGTGGTGTTATTGCTCCCACATGAGTTTTTTTGTATTGCTCTCATTGATTCTGTTGAGAGAGACTTGCTTTTTCCTTTCTTAACTACCACCACTGTATGTGCACCGCGTGGGCCATGATGAAGGGGTGCCCACTGAGATTTTCAGAGCAGCCGTCTCTTCCAATTGCTTCTCTACCCATCTCTCTTTGTACCTTTGTTCTTTGCCACTAGCATGAAGATTGTGTCCTGCTGGAATTGGCCTCCCACCACCGTACCTAATGAGAGCAAGTTCTGGAAGCCAAGTCAGTCTTAACAGCAGAATGAGTTGTAAGGTCATGAACATAATGTAAAATGGAAAGAAAAAAAAGGAACATTAGCCTATACAGTGTGGGAGTTTGAAATGCAAGGTTACTTTATAGTGATTTCACCAAGTAGGACATGTTTTTGTTTGATACAACAGTCCTTTCTGGTCCTCGAATCTGATTGGCTGATAAGAGTGTGATATTAGAGTCCAACTTAACTCCAACAGCCGTTTCACCATTTGTATCACTCCAACCCTAAACCTACCCCTTACAATAATGCAAAAATAGTAATTATTGTTGTACAGTGTGACAAAAATTACACTATATTGATGTGCACATGACCATTAGCCACAGCTGTCTCCTTTCTAGCCTTAAAAGGATAGTTCACCCAAAAATGAAAATTTGATGTTTATCTCCAGCTAGTAAGAGCTGCACACGTAAACCTGGCCTCAATAGGTGTACTAGCGACTGATGATAGAGGCTGCAATCTTCAGTGTGCTTGTTAGCGCACCCACCTCCTGTGTTGGCTGTTGCCAGTTCAAGCTCCACTCAGAGTGGGTCAAGCAGAACTGGTTGCATTGGTTCAATGACCCAGAGGGGAGCGAAGTTCAGACGGGTGAGTTTAACAGAGTCCAGCTAGTAAGAGATGCACCTCATAATAAATTAACAAGTTCCTTGTTCTATGATTTGCAATCAGGCACTGCTCTTGAATCACTGTGTGTTTTGTTTTGCCAAAATGCAAACATGCACAAAGCATTCCTTGATTCCTGTGAGTCACAATCAAGTATAATTCACCTTGACTCTACCAAGTAGGATATGACTTATATATATATATATATACTGTATATATATAAGCAATATCACACTCGTAGACGTGAGATATGGCTGTATATCGGCATGGCTGTGATTCGGCCGTAGGCACGAGGCCTCAGGCCAAGTGCCGTAGGTAATCACAGAGTATGATATTGCGTTAATTCCTCAGCTGAATCTCATATTCACAATAAATTCCAGAAGATCTGGCCAAGGTGAGGCGCTCTCTGCGGGTTTATGAGCGCTGAACAGCCCTGGAGCTCACATCTCCTAAAACGTTGAAACAAATCTTCAAATAGACGTTATCTTTCTTAACAAACCACATATTTGAAGTCCAAACAAGTACATTCTCGCCTAAAAAACTCTTAAAACTATATTCCGTGACACAAAACAGTATTATTTTTAAAATTATACTGGATTTGTGGGTTAAAAGGATAGTTCACCCAAAAATGAAAATTTGATGTTTATCTGCTTACCCCCAGGGCATCCAAGATGTGGGTGACTTTGCTTCTTCAGTAGAACACAAACAAAGATTTTTAACTCAAGCCGTTGCAGTCTATCAGTCTTATAATGGCAGTCAATTGGGCTCCACGGCTTTGAGAGTAAAAAAAAACATACACAGACAAAACCAAATTAAACCCTGCGGCTCGTGACAATACATTGAGGTCTTAAGACACGAAACGATCGGTCTGTGCAAGAAACTGAACAGTATTTATATCACTTTTTACCTCTGATCCACCGCAATGTTCACAACATCCAATGAGTGATGTATACATGCGACAGATCGCTTTCGCTCATGCGTCTACTATGCCAGAGCACGTACACGCGTCACGCGCTGGATGTTGTGAACGCGTCATCGTCGTCACGAGCTGCAGGGTTTAATTTGGTTTTGTCTGTGTTTGTTTTTTTTGACTCTCAAAGCCGTGGAGCCCATTGACTGCCATTATATGACTGACAGACTGCAACGGTTTGAGTTACAAACTTAGTTTGTGTTCTACTGAAGAAACAAAGTCACCTACATTTTGGATGCCCTGGTTGTAAGCAGATAAACATCAAATTTTCATTTTTGGGTGAACTATCCTTTTAACCCACAAATCCAGTATAATTTTAAAAATAATACTGTTTTGTGTCACGGAATATAGTTTTAAGAGTTTTTTAGGCGAGAATGTACTTGTTTGGACTTCAAATATGTGGTTTGTTAAGAAAGATAACGTCTATTTGAAGATTTGTTTCAACGTTTTAGGAGATGTGAGCTCCAGGGCTGTTCAGCGCTCATAAACCCGCAGAGAGCGCCTCACCTTGGCCAGATCTTCTGGAATTTATTGTGAATATGAGATTCAGCTGAGGAATTAACGCAATATCATACTCTGTGATTACCTACGGCACTTGGCCTGAGGCCTCGTGCCTACGGCCGAATCACAGCCATGCCGATATACAGCCATATCTCACGTCTACGAGTGTGATATTGCTTATATATATACAGTATATATATATATATATAAGTCATATCCTACTTGGTAGAGTCAAGGTGAATTATACTTGATTGTGACTCACAGGAATCAAGGAATGCTTTGTGCATGTTTGCATTTTGGCAAAACAAAACACACAGTGATTCAAGAGCAGTGCCTGATTGCAAATCATAGAACAAGGAACTTGTTAATTTATTATGAGGTGCATCTCTTACTAGCTGGACTCTGTTAAACTCACCCGTCTGAACTTCGCTCCCCTCTGGGTCATTGAACCAATGCAACCAGTTCTGCTTGACCCACTCTGAGTGGAGCTTGAACTGGCAACAGCCAACACAGGAGGTGGGTGCGCTAACAAGCACACTGAAGATTGCAGCCTCTATCATCAGTCGCTAGTACACCTATTGAGGCCAGGTTTACGTGTGCAGCTCTTACTAGCTGGCCTCTTTTTACATCCAGTCCATACCTGATTATATAATTCAGTGCTACACTCCTCAATTTCTTCTTAGCTTATTTAGTTTTTGTTCTAAAAATGAGGAATAATAATTATATATAGATTTCATTTTAAAAGTTATTTTTTTAGCCTTATTCCCCTTTTCTCACAGTCTCTACTTCCACACAGTTTAGAAACGGGAAACATCTTCCCGCTTCATCTACTCTTGTAGTTCAATCTTATGAAAAATAAAATGTGCAAGCTTTGCGGCAGCAGCCCCCAACTTTCATTCCACATCTATTCACAACAAGATTCAGGTTGTCTGATTGCCTTAGCAAACATTGCAGGAAATGGTTAGCGCAGACACGGACTTATCTGGTGTGAATCTGTCAGGCCCTTCAGTCAGTGCGACAGCTTTCTACATGAGTCAAACTGTTTATCCTTGCATCTCAGTTCATCCTTTTTCATTTATCTCATCCATCCTTTGCCACTTCAACATGCTTGCAGATGCCATTTAATGAGGCTGTCGAGATGGCATCCACATTGCATTAGACACTGTTGATGTTAAAAGGGTTTTAATGATACAGATCCTTAATACGGTGGAGAGGAACCTGACACAATAGCTAGATTAATGCCAAACCCTCACCCTAATCCCCAAATCCTCTTCAACGTACACTCACCTCACAAAATTCTCCCATCGCTACTTCTATTCTCTGCTTGTGGCCTCAGCTATTGCTGGAGAAAGTATACTGTAGATTTGAATGAGTAGACTATCTTTGCTGATGAACCGTAGATGAGATGAGGTGTTCTTTTGCTAAAGTGCTTTGGAGTGAAGACGTTCTGAGACTCTGTCGATGGAGGAGAGGAGAGCCCTTACTGAAGGCTCAAGCAAACAATTTAGTATCTTATAGTTTCTCATTCTACTGACAAAAAGCAGCCAGCAATATACATAGCAGTGTTTTCCTACTTAAACATTAAACAAGTAGCTGCAAAGCTTCTTTGATTATGAATATCATTAAAGTATAGTGGATAAATGTTATTTAACCTAAAAAGACTGACTGTGTACTTGGCCGCGTTGTGTTCTCCTTTGTACACAATTGGCCGCGTTGTGTTCTCCTTTGTACACAATTAACATTCACACAAGTGTCTTCGAGAAGTGTGTAGTGCAAGTGTAGTACATTGTTCCAACGTTTTCCGGCCATCTTCATTTTGAATACTACACTGTAAACCTGTCTGTTGCTTTTTAATTTAAAACCTAACTTATTGTAAAAGTTTTGCTTGGAATGTATACCTGTGCTATCTATCTATATTGTCACCTAATGCCATGACATTCATACATTTTTAAATGTGGCTTAAGTCCCCAAATACTTTTTGACATTTACCACATAGCCCAGCTATTTTGCTTGCATTCCAGTAGTCTGCTGGAACCATAATCTAATTTAGGACATTTCGGTTACATTGTGATGTGGAGAGGAAAGGAAGGATCAATATGCAGACAACCAGAGTTTGACTCACTCTTATGCCCATACTCTTTTCTTGTCTCCACTCCTCTTAAAGTTTATCTTTACTTCTAACAATAAATAAAACGTATAAACAGGCTAAACGCAATGCTCTGTGCATTCAGAGAATAATTTGATCCAGCTAAGGCAAAGTGGGCAGGAGCGGGACTGAAAAATCCGACCTCTACCTGCAGGCTTTTGTGGGTGAGAGCAGGTCAAAATATTACATCAATTTTGCAGGAGTGGGCCAGAATCTCACAGGAACAAGCTGGAGCCGGTCTGAAAAATCCAAGAAATGTTATGTGGTACACTACTGTCTTTACATCAGTATAACGGTTTAGAAACTAGAAAATAATATCTATCACTTTTATTTAAGTCTGTATAAAATGCACAAACGTTAAAATGCTTCTGTGGCCTCACCATTTTTGTGGATTACTTGAAATTTTTGATTTGTAGCTATATAATACTTGTATTTTGTCTTTTGTGGTGGTACCTATAATAAACACTAGTTTATCGGGGAGATGAGGGTATACATAAATGAGGGTTTCAGCTTCTGATTTCTTTTGCCTCAACTGATGCATGTAAATGTTTAAGGAACAATATCACTCATTACTCTATGTCCCCCTATTATATATTATATCAGATGCAGCAACATGTTAATGCATAACGGAGACACATTTATTAGCTCTTTTTTGTAATGTTTTTATTGTTCTTTTTGTATACCACCTGCTTAATTTGTGCTACATTATAACTATGCAAATTGCACTGCCTTTTAATGTAAACTTCTTTTCAAACTTAATTTATTTGTGCATTTCCAAGTGTGTGTGTGTGTGTGTTACTGATAAAAGAATACCCCTTAATCAGATATGCACTTTAAATGTAGAGATGAGCGATGTCTTCATGTGCTTTGCGTCTCTCCATGAGGCTCTGTGTACAAGAGCTCTAAATAAAGACAACACCAAAAGCTACTGCAATCTTTTTTTTGTCCAAGTATGTGTTTTGTGTACGTCTGTGAGTGTACTGTGTGTATGACCTTTTTTTAATGAAACACATGAACATGTAAAGATAACCTCCCACACGCAGTTAAAAAATAGGGTGAATTTTCATTTTATGTCGACTTTAAGATCTCAAAATTCTGGACTATTGATAATACAATAATAATAATTTGGTTATACTTCTAGGTGATGTAACTGACATTATT